AAAAAAAAAAAAAAAAGAGGGGGAAAAGCCCTGTAAGAACACTGAAAAGTTAAGGGTAATTATGTCTGGAAAATGAGATTAGAGATAATATGTTCATCTCCACCCCCTTTACATTTGTGATTTTCAAGACCAAAAAATACATTAAAATAATAGTAGTTAATACTAAATGAGTGCTTACTATGTACCAGGACTTTATAAGTAAAAGGTGATTGAAACTTTTTTTTTTGAGACAGAGTCTCACTGTGTCACCCTAGGTAGAGTACTGTGGTGTCACAGCTCACAGCAACCTCCAACTCTTGGACTTAAGTGATTCTCTTGCCTCAGCCTCCCAGTAGCTGGGACTACTGGTGCCCACAACACCCAGCTATTTTTTTATTGTTATTGTTATTGTTGTCATTGTTGTTTAGCAAGCCCTGGCCAATTCAAACCTACCAGTTCCTATGCATGCTGCCAGCACCCTAGCCACTGAGCTACAGGTGCCGAGCCATGAAACTTAATACTCACATGAGATGGGTAGGATTATTATCCCCCTGTTACAGAGGGGAAACTTAAAGCACATAGGGGCTAGATAAATTGTCCAAGAACCCACAGCCTGAAAGCCAGGAGTGGAACTATGCAGTAAGACTCCCAATCTGTGTTCCTAGTCATTACACAATTCCTTGAAGTCCAAGCCCTGTATTTAGGCAGCACCTAGCTCTAATGACCAGTAAGAGTTAGTATACCAGGTGATCTATACTTGGCCATATATATGTATTTTTATATATACTGTATATGTACATCTTTCACTTCAGCTTTACTAAGCAGCCTCTCAGGAGTAGTTAGACACATACTCTTAAGATCACTCTGGACTTTACTAGCAAACAATACATATCATTCTTATGTGTGTTCCTAGATTTAGGCTTTTGAGGAAAAGAAAAAGAACAAGAGTATTTTTAAAAATAATGTCCAGAGTAACACAGTTAAAGTGCTCATCCTTAACTCCCAATTTCAAACACTCACAACTAATTCCTATTTATAGACATTCCCATTTCCGCTTAGAAGGACCAAAAGAAAAACAAAAACTCAGCAGATCTGACCACAGACCTTTGAACTTGAAAACAACAGCAGGTTCCTTCTTCAAGCTGTGGCCTCTAAGCTCAATCAACTTTGCCTCTGAGCCAATGAATGGCAACTGGGCACTTTACTTTTTTCACAAATCAAAATAACTGCAAGCAGATCCCAGTGCATAAACAGGGAATGCCTGTGCATCTATAAGGGACGGTACATCTTTTTAAACAAGGCAAAAGAAAGAACTGTTCTACTTGCTGCTAAGCTTATAGCTCTCTGCTGAACAAACTTCCTATGAGATTTTTTAAAGTTTCCTCCAGATTTGGGGATTTATTTTCCTTTTAAATCTCAGTAGTGGGAAGGCAGAAGAGGAAATCTCAGATGAGATGGTACCGTTAGGCAGTCTTACGAATTATGTTTTTATTTGTATCAGAGAAGATACAAATAAATTTCCTTGTATCCATTATTCTGCTATGACAATTACTTCCTGTATCTATTCTGAAGGAAGGAGAATCTATTAATTCACCAAGGTTTCTTATCATCACTATCATAATGGCTAGTGTTTTTTAAAATTTAACTGTTTTATTATATATATATATATTTTGAGACAGTCTCACTTTGTCACCTTGGGTAGAGTGCTACAGCATCATAGCTCACAGCAACCTTAAACTCTTGGGCTCAAGCAATTCTCTTGCCTCAGCTTCCCACGTAGCTGGGACTACAGGTGCCTGCCACAACACCCCGCTATTTTCAGAGATGGGGTCTCGCTCAGGCTTAGGCTGGTCTCCAACCTGTGAGCTCAGGCAATCTGCCCCCCTTGGCCTCCCTAATATGACTGCTTGCTTGTGTGCATTATCTTTGCTTAGTGGCTCTCAACTGGGGTGATCTTGCAACCTTGGGGACACCAGCAATGTTTGGAGACATTTTTTGATTGTCGCAACTTGAAACTGAGGGGATTGTTAGTGGGTAGAGTCCAGGATGCCGCTAAACATCTTACAATGCACAGGTGAAACCTCCCACAACAAAGAATCATGTGGTTCAAGATGTCAATAGTCCTGTTGCTATCTTAGCTAATAACCCCACTTTACACATGAAGAAACTGAGGCTTGGAGTGGTTAACTTGCCTCTTCTAAGTAAACAGCAGGGAAGTGTTTCAGCAGATTTCAACCCGTGCAGTCTGAATTCAAAGACTCTCCTTGCTTAACCATTACCCTACAACTACTCCTAGAACCAGTTCACCAATTTGAATTCAACCCCATCATTTTACAGAGAGAAAAATGAGAGTCAGAGAAGGGAAGTGACTTGCCCAAGGTCACACAGCACAGGGGCAGGGATGAAACTTAAGACTCCTTAGTTTAAGCCTATTGCTCCTTCGCAGGCTTTGCTTCTCCCTCTACACAGGACCCAAAAGTTCACTCCTGGGGAGAGGTCCCAGGGAACAGGGGCCAGTGCCACCCGCTATCTGCTGGGGCAACCTGACTCGGACAAGAATCTCCTGCAGGGTCACCTGAGGGCGCCGGGAAGACAAGCTGACAGAAGGAAGAAAGAAGAATCAGAAGCGCCCACTCCCACTCCATGTGCTCCCAGCCCCAGTCGGGGAGCCCAAGTGGGGGTCGCCCCAGGAAGCCGGGGTCGAGGGGAGGAGATGCAAAGCCCCGGCCTAGACTGAAAGGAGAGAAACACGGTGGTGAGTTCCCAGCAGCCTCTCTGGGTTCGCCCAACCCACCTCCCATATCAGGGTGCCCAGCCACCACCTCTTACTCCGCACCCTCTGACCCCTGATCCCTGCCCTCTCCCTCGGGCCAAGCCCAGGCACCCCTCAGATTCTTACACGCGCCGCCCCAGCAACCTGGACCGCGCGCCTGGGTCCGCACCGCGCAGCCTAGCCCACCGGTGCTGCCGCCAACACCCCGAGCCCGAAGCTGTTGCAGCCGCCACAGCTGCCGCCACTTCAGCCGCTGCCACCACAGCAGCTGCGCCAGCTCTCCCATCCGCCGCCTACCGTCCTCGCAACCCCGCTGGCTCCGCCCCACTACCACTTCCTTGCGGTCTATTGGCTAATTGGGCTGCCAGGATAAGCTCTGGTTGGCCAAGCCTCACGTCCTTCTCCAATTCTCGCCAGCTCCTGTTGCAAATAGCCCCACCCGCCTCCTTAAAGAGGACAGGGTAAAGCTCCGCCCCTTTCTCCTCCCACCCTCTCCGCCTTACTCATTCAGCCCAACCCAAAGGTCTTCAATTGGTGGAAGTCAGAGAGACTGTGTTTCTGATTGGTCATGCCTCAGGAGGTGGGGCTCACTGAGTGGAACAGGGACTTGAATGGTAAAAAGGAAAGTCAGTCAGACGCCAAGTCCCGCCTTCTGAGGTTGGCGGGTAACCTAGCAACCAGGGACAGCAGAGGTAACTGTGTGTAGAGAAACTTGGAGCCCTCAGAACAGGTGAGTAACCAAGTGGAGAAGGATTGGGCATGGGGAGGAAATGTGGAATGGGATCTACCCCTTTTCCTTCCTGAGAAATCAGTATTCTCACTGCGATTCCGTTCCAGCTTCAAGATCCTGTCTCAAAGCCCCTGCCACTCTCGGCACCCTTCTCCTGCAAGGATCCCAGGGTCCCTGCTTCCATTCTGCCCCCTCTTCGTTCACTTCATGGCCTCACTTCCTCATCCCTAAAACGAGAATGTAGAGTCGCATCGTAGTTACCTTATTTTCAACTTTTTTTTTTGAGGGGGCGCGGAGACAGGGTCTTGCTCTGTCACCAAGGCTGCAATCAAGTAGCACAATCGTAGCTTCCTGCATCCTTGAACTTGTGAATTCAAGCAGTCCTGTATCAGCCTCCCGAGTAGCTGAAACTACAGGCAGGCATCAACACACCCAGCTAACTTGCTTTTCATTCTTTTAGAGATGGGATCTAGCTATGTTTCCCAGGCTGGTTTTCAACTACTGGGCTCACGTGATCACCCCGCCTCAGTCTCCCTAAGTGCTAGGATTACAGGCATGAACCACACTGCATGGGCCAAGAGTTAACTTATTTCAAGCCAAAAATAGGTATTGGGGAGGGTAGGGCAGTTTGTAAGTCCCCTACCATTTCACCCAATGGCTGTAAGTTCCTGGGTGAGCACGTGATAGAAGGTATCTCATTTGAGTGCTTAAATTCAGTAATTTTTGCCTTTTGTACTAACTTTTGAATATAACCCCCATCTCCATCCATAGGATGGGATTTCATTGTACATTAAAATAAAGGGTTTCTTCTCATGAGGATTAAATGAGGCAAAGCTATGAAGAGGTCACCATGGAGCCTAGCAACATAATAAGTGCTCAGTAAATAATGGGAGTGTTTTCTTCTTTTCTAAAACACATTTGGCCTTGACTCTTCCTGCTCAAAACAGCTAAAAGGTGTTATGGGGGCTGGGGTGAAATGGGGATCCATGCCTTCCTCAAGGGGCCAGTTAAGACCCAGCATTAGTTGATTGTCCCTGGATAGATCTAGACAATCTGGGTTTGGGTCCTGGCTCTGCTACTTACTGCATGACATTGAGCAAGTCACTTTCCCTCCTTGTGCCTCAGCTTCCTCTGTAAGATAGACAATAGTAGAGCCCCCTACACAGAGTTGTTCTGAGGGCTAAATGAATGAACAAACACTTGCAAATGCCCCCCCACCCCCGCAATGGTGGCAGATTACACCTATAATCCTAGTACTCTGGAAGGTGAAGGTGGGTGGATTGCTTCAGCTCAGGAGTTTGAGACCAGCCTGAGCAAGAGCCAGACCCCATTTCTAAATAAAATAGCTGGGTGTTGTGGAAGGCACCTGTAATTCCAGCTACTTGGGAGCCTGAGGCAAGAGGATCTCTTGAGCTCAGTAGTTTGAGGTTGCTGTGAGCTCTGATGCCATGGCACTCTACTGAGGGCAACAAAATGAGACTCTGTCTCAAAAAAAAAAAAAAAAACTGAGCTGAAACATCAGTAGCTGTACATTATAGGGGAGACCAGCTCTACAGATTTAGTCCAGGAAGTCACTAAATAAACATGCAAACAAAACAATGAGGACAACAATCATTAGGAAGAAAAAGTGAGACTACAGAGTTGCTACAGTTTTTATCTAAAATTTGTGGTTTTCAGGTGCCTGCAGTCCTAGCTACTTGAGAGGCTGAGGTAAGAGAATTGCTTGAGCCCAAGAGTATGAGGTTGCTGTGAGCTGTGACACCATAGCACTCTACCTAAGGCGACAAAGTAAGGCTCTGTCTCATTAAAAAAAAACAAAATAAAGAAAAAAATAAAATTTCTAGTTTTCAGGAAAAAATTGTGGACTTGGCGCTTGTAGCTCAGTGGTTACAGTGCTGGTCACATACACCAAGGCTGGCAGGTTTGAACCCAGCCCAGGCCTGCTAGACAACAATGACAACAACAACAACAAAAATAGATGGGCGTTGTGCAGGCACCTGTAGTCCCAGCTACTTGGGAGGCTGAGGCAAGAGAATCACTTAAACCCAAGAGTTTGAGGTTACTGTGAGCTGTGACACAATGGTACTTACTGAGGGCAACATAGTGAGACTCTGTCTCAAAAAAAAAAAAAAAATTTAAAAAAATTGTGAGATGTGCAAAGAAATAAGAAAATGTAAACATACTGAAATAAAGGAGTGAATAGAAACTGTATGTGTTCCCAGATATTGAACTTAAAAGATTTCAAAGTGGCTGTTATATAAATATGTTCGAAGAAGCCAGCCACAGTGGTTCACACCTGTAATCCTAGCACTCTAGGAGGCCAAGACAGGAGGATCACTTGAGCTCAGGAGTTGAAAACCAGCCTGAGCAAGAGTGAGAGCAAGTTTCCTGTTGGGCACCTGTAGTCCCAGCTACTCGGGAGGCTAAGGCAAGAGGATCACTTGAACCCACGAGTTTGAGGTTGCTGTGACCTAGACTGACTCCACAGCACTCGAGGCTGGGTGACGGAATAAGTAAGAATCTATCTCAAAAACAATGTATTGAACATAATAAAAGGAAGTAAAGTTTCAGGGACACAGAAAAAGATATGAGACAAAAATAACAAAATAGATGTAGATTCAACCATACGAATAATTAGTAAATAAATGTAAGTGGAAAAACACTAATAAAAAAGTAGAGATTGTCAGACTGGATAAAAAAGTGAGATCCAACAATATGCTGTCTTTAAGAGACACACTTTAGATTCAAAAACATACATAGATTGAAAATTAAAAATTGGAATTCATGGCTCAGCACCCCTAGCACAGTGATTACTGCGCCAGCCACATACACCAAAGCTGGCAGGTTCGAACCCCGCCTGGGCCAGCTAAACACCAATGACAACTACAACAAAAAATAGCCGGGCATTGTGGCAGGTGCCTATAGTCCCAGTTACTTGGGAGGCTAAGGCGAGAGAATTGCTGAAGTCCAACAGTTTGATGTTCCTGTGAGCGATAACGCCATGGCACTCTACCAAGGGCAACATAGTGAAACTGTCTCAAAAAAAAAAAAAAAAAAAGGAACATTTCATATTGATAAGTGATAGGAAGGGCAATACATCAAAAAATACAGCTAGCCAGGAGTGGCTCATGCCTATAATCCTAGAACTCTGGAGGCCGAGGTGGGTGGACCACTTGAACTCATGAGTTCGAGACCAACCTGAGCAAGAGCAACACCCTATCTATAAAAAATAGCCAGGTGTTGTGACAGGCACCTGTAGTCTCAGCTACTCTGGAGGCTGAGGCAAGAGAATCACTTGAGTCCAAGAATTTGAGGTTGCTGTGAGCTATAATGCCCAGCATTCTATAGAGAGCAACAAAGTGAGACTCTGTCTCAAAAAAAATAATAAAGGCGGTGCCTGTAGTTCAGTGGGTAGGCACCGGTCACATACACCCATGCTAGCGGGTTCAAGTCCAGCCAGGGCCTGCTGAACAACAATGACAACTACAACAAAAAAATAGCTGGGTATTGTGGCAGGCGCCTGTAGTCTCAGCTACTTAGGAGGCTGAGGCAAGAAAATCGCTTAAGCCCAAGAGTTTGAGGTTGCTGTGAGCTGTGATGCCACTCTAACAAGGGCGACATAGTGAGACTCTGTCTCAAAAAACAACAAATAAGATATAGCTAGACTGACAAAACAAACAAAAAAATAAACGAGAGAAAATAAATTACCCAAATCAGAATTACAGAAATTAAAAGAATTATGAAAGAATATTATGAACAACTTTATGCCAAAATATAAGACAACTTAAAGGGGCCAGGAGTGGTGGCTCACCCCTATAATCCTATCATTTGGAAAGACTGAGGCAGGAGGATCCCTGAGTCCAGGAGTTACAGACTGTCTTGGGCAACATGGTGAGACCCTACCCACACAAGAGAAAAACACAACCACATTCTTTTTTTTTTTTTTTTTTGAGACAGAGCCTCAAGCTGTCCCCCTGGGTAGAGTGCCATGGCATCACAGCTCACAGCAATCTCCAACTCCTGGGCTCAAGTAAGTCTCCTGCCTCAGCCTCCCAAGTAGCTGGGACCACAGGCGCCCTCCACAACGCCCAGCTATTTTTTGGTTGCAGCCGTCATTGTTGTTTGGCGGGCCAGGGCTGGATTTGAACCCGCCACCTGAGGTGTACGTGGCTGGCGCCTTAGCCACTTGAGCCACAAGTGCCGAGCCGACACAACCATATTCAAGTGGGGATGTGGGGAGGAAGGAAAGCGGCCAAGGAGGAAAGGAGAATTGTAAGCTCTTACCTAATGGGCCTAATGAACTTTACCTTAGAAGGCCAAACCATCTAACCTAATCATTTGCACCCTCATATTAATCTGAAATTTAAAATATATATATAATAAAGAATATTCCCCCCAAAAAACATAGTGAGACCTCATCTCTACAAAAACCAAAAATAAAAAAATTAGCCAAGTGTGGTGATATGCACTTTTAAGTCTCAACTATTTGGAGGCTCCCTTGACCCCAAGAGTTCAAGATGACAGTGAACTATAATCAGGCCACCGCACTCCAGCCTGAGTAACAGGAGAGGCAAAGTTG